ATTCTGAGTATAATTGGATAAAATATATTTTATCATTAATTTTTTTCTAGAAAATCAATGCGTAACAACAACTCCTTTAAATAAATAAGAGTAATTGTTTAGCCAACTCGGTCAATTTTAGATTTTATTTTTGAGTGTTGTTGATATAAATTTTTAATATTTAAATTTAGATATAAATTATCTTTTCACGAGAAATTATAAATTTAAATAGATAATCTACACTTTACTCTCTTTTATACTTTTCAAAAAAATTCTTATCATTAAGAAATAAGAAATGGAAAATAAATAAACAAAAAAAAAAAGTAAAACGGGGAAAATTTTGAAATTGAAAAAGAGATATATTTTTATATTTTTTTACTACTACTGTAATGTGTGTATATATATATATTATTTTTATTTTTTTAGATCTTGAAAATTTCAAGTGAGAAGAGTGGATGAGAGTTATGTTTCTTTGGTGAATTTTTTGGTTCCTTTCCCATGTTTAACTATGAAATCATCAATAATTAATCTCATTAATCATTTTCAATGTATTGGAAACATAATTGAAGAATATATTTAATATTTAAGTTAAAGGGTAAAAATGTACCAAAAATAAACTAATTTATAGTGTGAACATGTCTTTTTTCATTCTGGCCAAAATTATGGCCAAATTTTTATGGCCAAAAGGATTTTTCCTAAATTTAATATGAACCTCCTAAATTGCATCAAATTGCTGAGGTTTAAATAAACCCTTCCGATTTTTGTGCAATTTATGGGGTTATGAACTCCGTAATCCTCAAAATTAAAATTATATAATATCAAGTCGTTCACTTGATCATTTCTCCAAATTCATATCGGAATTGAGTTTTACTCAACTTTCGTTTAATAACTAACTTTATCCTCCGATCTTCATCATACTATCCAGCCATTTATAATTCTGGTTACTCTCAAATTGATCAAAATTACCTGATTTTCCTAAAAATTACTATCAGTTTGTCCAGATCCTCCTTAAACCCAATCCAATTCACTAAACTAATAAAATCCATACAAATTAAACCCCCATAAACAAACAAATTGATTAACGATTAAAAGATGAAAATTGAGGTTGTTCATGAAATTCACATAAGGGGTTTGTAAGTATTTCCTTGTTGTTGAAAGAATATTGTTTATGGAATATGCCTTAGGTTTATGTGTGTATATATATATATATAGTAAATGGATTACAGAGTATTTGTTATTTACACTAGGTGACAAATCAACGTTCATATATCCCTTTTTCACTCGACAAAATAAATTATCATATGACCGAGTATTATTAAAACAAAAATTTAAAAATCAATTTGTATCAACGAGGTCTTCAAGCATCTTAAATAAGTTGATTGAAAATATCAGTGTTATTCGATCATGTAATACTTAATAAATACAAAGAAAGATTTTTAGGTCGGTTAACTTTGAATTTTGACTCCAAACTAGTCCTATCACATTTAATCTTCGTTCTTAAATCTTATATATAGTTTCGTCTTTGTGTTCCCAATGAACTCCAACCACAAAAACACCAAAAAAAAAAAAAAAAACACAAAAAAAAACCAAGTTTTTTTTTTCAAATTTAATTTCAAACTAAGAATTCAAATGTGTGTTTATATCTACTTCTTTTTCTTTCATTTATAATTAACAATTATTGTCTTTTCTTTTTTTTGTAATGATGCCTTGCTAAAATTTACACCGTTTTTGTTTGTAGGACAAATACATTTCTTTTGGCTTTGCTAGCACTACTTTGTACAACGCATGTTCTTGGCGCCGATAATAATTATTTGTACATTAATATCACAATACTCCATAGCGCAACTGCCCAAGGCGCAGGTAATTATGGGTATAAAAAAATATGAAAAACTAAATATACTCTTAATTCCTCAAAGAAAATCAAATATTCATTTGTTTTAATTTGTCAATAGTATGTCTCGATGGAAGTCCACCAGCATATCATCTGGACAGGGGACATGGTACCGGACTTCGCAGCTGGATTATCTACCTGGATGTTAGTTACTTGATTTTTGTAATTGATTCTCATATTTGACATTACTATTGAGTCGATCACCAAATTAACTTGGAGAAATAATTCATATTTATAGGGAGGCGGTTGGTGCAACAATATCTCAGATTGTCTTAATCGTTCAACTAAATTCTTAGGTTCTACAACGAAGATGAATCAACAAGGTTTTTTCGGTGGGATACTTCATAATACCTCCAAAGAAAATCCAGGTGATGAAGCTCACATATTATTTTTACTTGTTTCTTTTGTGTGCATATATAAAATTAAGTATACACTTGTTCTAACTGCAAACAATGTTGTAATTTGGTAGAGTTTCACAATTGGAACAGGGTGAGGGTGAAGTATTGTGATGGTGCATCTTTCACCGGTGATGTTGAACAAGTCAACCCTGTAAGAAATACACACATATATCCTTACATATATATATATATATATTATTAATTATGTAACATTTTTTGATTAAAATTTTCAAATAACTTACATTAGGAGACCAAGTTATATTTCCGAGGGGCAAGAATATTTAAGGCAATTATGGAGGATTTATGGAACAAAGGAATGAAAAATGCTGAAAATGTAAGAATATATCCTATTGTCACTATCTAGCTTCATATTCCTAATTGCAAGTCATATATGTATTACTACCTTATTGAATATCAAAATATTGTCAGGCAATTCTAACCGGAACATCAGCAGGAGGATTGGCAACAATCTTGAATTGCGACAAGTTCAAAAGCCTCCTTCCAGAGAGTGCCAGAGTAAAATGTGTTGCAAGTTCTGGCTTCTTCATCGACGGGTATCTTCTTCCCATATTTACGTCATGAAAATGTTATTCTACACCTTCTAATCCGATTCTCTTGGCACGTTCATGATTTACATGCAGCAAGACAATAAATGGTACTTCACATATTCAAGAGATGTATCAAGAAATTGTTAACCTACATGTCCGTCTCATCTTCTTGTTTATATTTTTTTTATAGTGATTTTGGTATGCTTAACTATAAATAATAGCCTTTTCTCCTCTCTCCTTCTCAGGGATCGGCTAAGAATTTACCGTTAGCGTGCACGTCTGCAATGGAACCAAGTTTGGTAATTTCTTTAAGCTTTCGAAATAAAAACAATATCTTTAATTGTATGGTGTAGTAATATAACTATTTCCCTCTAATTATAACATTACTTTTCTTTAATTTTATATGGTGCAGTGTTTTTTCCCTCAGAATGTTGTTTCATACGTTCAGACTCCACTTTTCATTATCAACTCAGTTTATGATTCCTGGCAGGTCAACGAGACAAATGCTAATTTCTCTCAATTTAAGAATTTTATTTGTTTCTTCTTTAGCTTCTATATATAATTCTGATTATTCAACAATCTTTAATTCCAGATTAATAACACTTTGGTACCTTCATACCTTGATCCTCAACATGCCTGGAAGGATTGCATCAACAACATAAGTAGCTGCACATCTAGCCAACTTATAATTATTCAAGGTTAACATTTATCTAGTGATTAACTAATGTATATGACGTTACACATAGGGCTGGGCGTTCGGTCGGTTCGGTTCGGTTTGTGAATTTCGGTTCGGTTTTTCGGTTTTCGGTTTGACAAAAATGTGAAACCAAACCAAATTGAAATAAATTCGGTTTGGTTCGGTTATTACAATTTCGGTTCGGTTTATTTCGGTTTGGTTTTCGGTTTAACCAAATTTAATTAACAGTGGCCTGTGGTTGTGGGCTGTGGCATCAGGCCTGGCCATAAGCAAAGCAGTATTATGAACATTGCAATTCACATTTGTGCTTGTTAAATTAACACTAGAGAAATGACCAAATTAATAAGTAGCACTTGGAAAAGTAAGTACCGTTCATGAGCTCGTTGTTTACAAAAGGCAGAGGGGTATCATGTTATTCATGTGGCATCTGGATAATTTTTAGTAAAGTGAAAAAAAAAGGCTTCAGAAGTGCAGGTATTGAAAAAAAAAGCTTCAGAAATCAGAAGTGCAGACTTCAAAAGTGCAGGAATTTAATATGTATTGAAAATTTGAAACAACTCAACAAGTGCAGGACACAACTCACAGTCACAAGTTTGTCACAACTCTTGTGACTTGTGAGCACAACAAGTGCATATTCTCATCAACATTAACAAACTACCATATTATCGACCAAAATATCCAAACATTTAACATGTTCAAGGAGCAGACAAATTCTTGTCCAAGCAGTCCACCATTGAGACAAATTCTTTTCAACTGCAAGTCTGAAACACCACTTTTCACTTTCTTATGCAATTTGAGAGGTCTATTGTAGATGGAATAGAAATCTATTTATCTCTCTGAGACCTAATTATTGAAACAGACATGAATATAACACTCATAAACAAACATGGACAGACGAATACATGAGCCTGAAGGAATGATCACACCACGTAAGTTGTAACTCGTAAGTCGTAACTGAGAGTCTGAGACGAGAGTTGAGAGACGAGAGACGACTAATGACTGACGAGAGTTAAGGGTTGAGAGTTGAGAGATGAGAGATGAGAGTTGCGGCGTATGTTGATTGTTGAGAGATGAGAAACGAGTTAGACGACTGATTTTAGGGAAATTAGTTTTTAGGGATTTCTGATTTTTTGATTGGAATTTGGGCTGGGCATGGGCTGAGAATTAAGGTTGTGTGGGCTATCAGCTCTGGGCCGGCTGGAGCCTGGACATGGGCTGAGATTTCATTAAGGGGTAAAGAATATATACATATAATTTCGGTTTTTCGGTTAACCGAAATTTTTAAGCTAAAAATCGAAAACCGAACCGAAAAACTTAAATATTAAAAACTGAAACCGAAACCGACCGAAATAACCGAAAAACCGAAACCGAAATTAAAAAAAAATCGGTTCGGTCGGTTTTTTCGGTTTTAACCATATTATGCCCAGCCCTAGTTACACATGTGTAATGACTCTTCTTCTTCTTCTCCTTTAGTTTTTATTTTTAACTTATTTTCTCTAATAGCCTTCGGAGTTGAATTCTTGAAGATATTTGGCGGACTACCCCCTTGTTTTACGAGGGGTTATTTCCTCACATCTTGCTATTCTCATGGTGATATTCTATCAACGTCATACTGGTATAATACTACCTCTCCAAGGTTACTTAGTAAGGTAATGTTTGTTTGTTTGTTTTATCCATATAAATTAGTTTGAATACACACATTTTTGTTTTACAATTTTATCATATACCTGTCATAGTAAGTTTTGATTTGTTCATAACAAATTTTAATCTCTTGTAACATTTTATGTGTATAGACAATTGCAGAAGCTGTTGGGGATTGGTACTTTGAGAGAGCAGGATTTCAACATATAGACCCGTATCCTTGTGTTAAAAATTGCAAATAATTGTAAGTTCCGTGAAATTCTGTAATGAATACGCTTGCAAGGAGATACTAATGAAGTTTGTCTCTCTTCATGGTCGTGTACTTGCTTTCAGTGACATACTAATGATGTTTTAGTACACATCAATGGATAGATGATATAGTTGTGGAGTGTGAATGTATACTAATTTATAAGATCATACAACTATGGTATAATTATTCATTTTTAAGTCACTTATGTTGATTTTGTACTTGCATCAATAGACAAGAGTGAGCAGCTCGGAAGATAAGCATCTTTCATCTTAAATTTTTTTTTGAATTTGAATTATCAAGAGAGCAAAAAAGGATGGGACCTCCAAAAGAGAAATTAAAAATATATATTTTGTATCAGTAAAGTCATTCAAATTCAACTTGTTTATTTGAGCTGATTGCCTAATTCCATAATACAAGCAACGGTTTTCTTTGTCAAAATCCATTAATGCCCATATAATTTTTTCATAGCTAAATGAGTAATAACTTGTTTGGCCAAATTTTTAGAAGGTCAAAAGTATTTGTTTTTTGTCAAGAATTATTTATTCTAAATAATGAGGTGTTTGGTCAAGTTTTTGGGAGAAAAAAAAAAGGTATTTCTGTAGAGTAGCAAGAACTATTTTTGCCCATTTTTTTTTTTTTTGAAAAACACATTTGAGAAAAATATATTTAGAAGCATATAACTGTTGCTCATAAGTGTTTTTAATTAAAAAATTAAATTTATTGATTAAACACAAACTACTTTTAACTAAAAGTATTTTTTTTGGAACATTTAAAATAAACACGTTTCAAACTAACTTCAATCGAAACATACTATAAATTAAGATTAATAGAGTATTTCACAACAAAAAAGTAAAATCTTGGTATTTCTCCTCGGGCAATAGGACCTATATGGTTCCTAAAGAAAACAAGCTTTTCGAGTAAACTCCATAAGGATAGAACCGATCTGAAAGTGCTTCCACCACTTGTCTGATTGATTTTCTTTTTAGGTCATAGAAGACCACTTTATCCAAATGTTGGAATATTATTTCTTCATTGCATGTCATGAAGACATACGTAATTTTCTTAAACCCAAAGTCGATCAAACGTAACGGATGCTATACTCCTTTACCCAAGTGCAACTTATCTTATCCACAGGTCTAGAATTGAACTCCTGTGGAAGCGGCCAGCGTCTGGTACGCAAAGCATGCGTTTCAAATCCATCACAAACAAGCATTCATTTACTATCTGTCCTTCAGATCTCGGATGACAATTTCTTTCCATCTATTTAAAGAAAAATACCACCGACCTTATTTATGGTAAGAACCTCACATTTTAGATGTGAAACCTTCAAGTCGCCAAGATAACGTACACCACCTTTTAGTCGTTGAAGGAACACTACAGAAAAAATGCACCACTTTGTATTCCTTCCTTGTGTGAAGATATCCTAACCCAAAATGGGAATATCCAGGGGTAGCAGAAAGCGAATATTCTGGCAATTCACACAATTGTTGCAGGGCAGGATTGCACAAATAAAGAAAGACGACAATCTGTTGAAAGGCAAACCAACCCGAAGCGTACATGTGAGTTGGATATCAGGGGTAGTGACAGTGTATAATACCTCCCTACTTTCATCCATGTCAACTGAAACAAACCGTAACCTGGACGATTTTGACCGGTGAAGACATTTTCTATCCAAAAACAGAAGTTTGGGGCCATTTTCTGCTGATTGTTTCAAGTGAGAATGAAGGACTAATAATAAAGTTATTCCACAATTTGGATGTACACCTTAACATCAATAGTCACTAAAAGAGAGGTTATAACATCATCAGATAGCATATTGAAGTAGTCAATTTTTGCATAATTCCCTTCCTCCTCTGTACTACTACTTTTTCTCCATATTTTCATCAAAAGGATTATACAGAAATTAACACACAAAAGGATTCAAAATAAGTTTGACCCTAGAAATAACCCCATCAAAAAGTTAAATAGCTTTCACCGTATTAATCCACTTGAAATTTGCAATTCTGAACACGGATCCCTTCCTACAGCTAATTTACCCACTTCGCTCTAACTAAAAAATTCAAAATTGAGCAAATCTAATCTGAAATTTGCAATGCTATAGGATATTGCATCAAATTTATTAGACGAAGTAAAAAAGTACCTTTTTGTCTTGTTGTCCCTCCTTGTGAATATTTTTGCATCGATTAGCTTTCATATTTTCTAAGAATGCCGCCTCTGGGATTTGGTGCAGTTCTGGCAGAAGCGGCGGCGGGAGAGGAAGACGGTGGTGGAGGAGAAAAGAGGTTTGGGTTGAGATTACGGGCAGCAAAAAAAAAAGAATTTTCTTGTTGCGTTTTTGGGCATAAATCTTATAGGGAAAAAGGATAAATATACCCGAACTATCGTAAATAGTATACAGATACCCTCCGTCATATTCTTGGGACATTTGTGCCCTTGCCATCCAAAAACTAGAGTATAAATACTCTTTATACTAACAGACATACACGTGTCATAATTTTATCCACCGATCCGTCATTTATTAAGTATCGAATGGACGGATAAGATTGTGCCACGTATCCCTATTTAGTCTTCTGTTAGAGTGAAGAGTATATATGTTCTAGTTTTTAGACGGCAGGAGCACCAATGTCCCAAAAGTATAACGGAGGTTATCTATATACCATTTACGATAGTTCAGAGATATATTTATCCTTTTTCCCAATCTTATAATCCAACAAGAAAACCAACTATTGGTGGTAAACTGGGGGCATATTACGAAATATCATTCAAAAATTATTACTATGGTTTTTCAACTATACTAGGTGTATAAATCAATTTTTTTAATACTGTTTAATTTTGAGAAAATTAAGCAAATGCTTATAGAACAAAATTTCTTTTCATTAATCTTGACTGAGTTACCTCAATTAAAAAATCCCTTCTAATATTATGAACCAAGAATTTTAAGCATTATGATTCTAAAATCTTAAAATATTGAGTAAAGTATTCCGTGATTATAATAAAACCTTTCAAAAACTCTAATATATTTTTGATTAAGCATAAATGAGTCCACTTTTACTAGTATATATTAAGGCAATACAAATTAGAGAATTAGTTAAAACGACGTCGAATAAAAACTTTCACGGTTATGCATTGAATTTATTTTTATAAATAGAAATATTATTATTGTAACGATATTAAATAAAAAAAATATTTGAGAAAAAAATAATAATGCAAAATTACGTTAAAGTTTGTGACTATTACTAGAAATAAAAAAGGCGAAATGATCTGGTGAACTCTTATACTTGTATCAGTTTGTATTCTGAACCCTTCTACTTACACATTTGTCATCTGGATCCTTAAACTCAATAAAACACAATTTAACAAATCCCTCTGATCATTGACCAAACTTATGTGTCTTTTAGATGGCTGAGTTGGCGGAAGTGTGTGACTTCATGCATCTTAAGGCGAGTGAACAACTATTTTAGGTTAAAAAAATATTAAAATTATAAAAGAAATAATTTTTTTTAAAAAAACAATTAATTAAAAAGTTATTTCTTCTTCTCCAAAGCTTAATTGCTATCCATAGGGCTGGGCATAATATGGTTAAAACCGAAAAAACCGACCGAACCGATTTTTTTTTAATTTCGGTTTCGGTTTTTCGGTTATTTCGGTCGGTTTCGGTTTCAGTTTTTAATATTTAAGTTTTTCGGTTCGGTTTTCGATTTTTAGCTTAAAAATTTCGGTTAACCGAAAAACCGAAATTATATGTATATATTCTTTACCCCTTAATGAAATCTCAGCCCATGTCCAGGCTCCAGCCGGCCCAGAGCTGATAGCCCACACAACCTTAATTCTCAGCCCATGCCCAGCCCAAATTCCAATCAAAAAATCAGAAATCCCTAAAAACTAATTTCCCTAAAATCAGTCGTCTAACTCGTTTCTCATCTCTCAACAATCAACATACGCCGCAACTCTCATCTCTCATCTCTCAACTCTCAACCCTTAACTCTCGTCAGTCATTAGTCGTCTCTCGTCTCTCAACTCTCGTCTCAGACTCTCAGTTACGACTTACGAGTTACAACTTACGTGGTGTGATCATTCCTTCAGGCTCATGTATTCGTCTGTCCATGTTTGTTTATGAGTGTTATATTCATGTCTGTTTCAATAATTAGGTCTCAGAGAGATAAATAGATTTCTATTCCATCTACAATAGACCTCTCAAATTGCATAAGAAAGTGAAAAGTGGTGTTTCAGACTTGCAGTTGAAAAGAATTTGTCTCAATGGTGGACTGCTTGGACAAGAATTTGTCTGCTCCTTGAACATGTTAAATGTTTGGATATTTTGGTCGATAATATGGTAGTTTGTTAATGTTGATGAGAATATGCACTTGTTGTGCTCACAAGTCACAAGAGTTGTGACAAACTTGTGACTGTGAGTTGTGTCCTGCACTTGTTGAGTTGTTTCAAATTTTCAATACATATTAAATTCCTGCACTTTTGAAGTCTGCACTTCTGATTTCTGAAGCTTTTTTTTTCAATACCTGCACTTCTGAAGCCTTTTTTTTTCACTTTACTAAAAATTATCCAGATGCCACATGAATAACATGATACCCCTCTGCCTTTTGTAAACAACGAGCTCATGAACGGTACTTACTTTTCCAAGTGCTACTTATTAATTTGGTCATTTCTCTAGTGTTAATTTAACAAGCACAAATGTGAATTGCAATGTTCATAATACTGCTTTGCTTATGGCCAGGCCTGATGCCACAGCCCACAACCACAGGCCACTGTTAATTAAATTTGGTTAAACCGAAAACCAAACCGAAATAAACCGAACCGAAATTGTAATAACCGAACCAAACCGAATTTATTTCAATTTGGTTTGGTTTCACATTTTTGTCAAACCGAAAACCGAAAAACCGAACCGAAATTCACAAACCGAACCGAACCGACCGAACGCCCAGCCCTAGCTATCCAACTCTGGCAACTTCAACTTTGTAAGTAGATCTAGGCGAGCCGTAGATCTTCGAAGAAACGGAAGGGAATGCTTAACATGCTGATCTCAAATTTCAATGCCATGGCGTTCACCGGAGAGGAAGGAAAGTTTTTGTTGGTTCATAGCCTGAGTATAAAGCTGAGAAAGGGAACTAGCAGCGCTACAGAAAGTCGAATACATGGTTCGATCCACCTCATCAAGGCTCGATGCTAGAGACTTCCTTTTCTTCTCCATCTTCAATCTTTCACAAAAATCGTTTCCTTCTAATCCCTTTAATTTGTCTTTTTCAACCGGTTTCGATAACCCAAGAAAATCTCAGGCGAATTTTTGGGTAGATTTTCGATGAGTTTCACGGCAGAGGTTGGTGTGAAATTGTATTTGTAAGCAATTTGGGGTGTGAAAATAGTAGTCGGCGTTGGATTACGAAAAGTTTGGCCAAATATGGTTGTGCGGTGGCCAAATTTGGTTGTGCAGTGGCTTAGGTTGTTACTGTGGAGGTTGGAGGAGGAAAGAAAAATAGTGATGGTGTGCGGTAGAGATGAAGACAGGTGAGGGAGAAAGTATATGTGATTTCACCTACAAAAATGGCGACGACGCCGACGATGACTTTCTTTTGGTCATGAAGTAGTGAAAATAGGGAGAATTAGAAATGCCAATAATAAATTAAAATGTTATTATTTTACATTTTATTAAATAATTTTGGTTAATAATTTTTAAAAATAGTTATGAAATAATTATGATGTGGCATTAATATATCTAACGTGGATATGACATGTCAATTATATAAAGGGGAGTGACCTACACATAATGGTTGGAGGGGCTTAAAAGTCTCATTTTAATTGAGTTTAAGGGTTCAGATAACAAAGGTGTAAGTATAAAGATTCAGAATACAAACTGATATAAGTATAAAGGTCCACCAGACCATTTCACCGATAATTAATAAAAAGGGCATTCTAAAGGGTTTTAAAAGGGTGGTTTTTCAACGTCATCATCATATACATTCTGAATGGATTTGTCCGGCTATGTTGTACAACTTGCTAAAGACATAGACAATATAAACTAAGGGGCCGTTTGGTTACGGTATAAGTTGCATTTTATTCATGTATAAAAAGTTGCATTATTTTTACCATGTTTGGTAGAAATTTTGTATTAGGTGGAAAAGTCAACATAACTTATACCATGTTTGGTTGGTAGAATTCTAAATGTTGTATAAAAGTTATTCATGTATTAATTTTATACGGTGTTTAGTTGTGTTTTTTGTACTCCTACATAATTAATACCAACATAACTTATGAGGGAATCTATATATAAGTTATGCAGGGTAGAAGGTGAAATAAGTTATGCAGGTATTAGTTATACATGTATTAAAATAGTAAATTACATATTTACCCTTATTGATTTATTTTTAATTATTTTCATTGAAAATGTTATCCAACTATGCTATTTTTCTAACTTTTTTTTTCTATTTTCATTTGAAATCCAAATGTAATATTCTATTAATATTACAAATTGAATTGTATATA